GGGGCCCCCCCCGGGGGGCCCCCCCGCGACTTCGAGGCCCCCAAAGAGGAGGCAGCAGCGCCTGCTGCTGCAGCAGCAGAAACTGCTGCAGCAGCAGCAGCAGAAACTGCTGCTGCTGCTGCTGCTGCTGCCAGTGCGCCTGCAGCAGCGCCGTGAGCCGAAAAGGCCCTGGGGATCCAACCCCACACACACGATCCCAGAGACGATCCCAGGAGACGATCCCAGGAGACGATCCCAGAGACGATCCCAGGAGACGATCCCAGGAGACGATCCCAGAGACGATCCCAGAGCCCCACAAGCTGCGATCCCGGGAAAGCGATCCCGGGGATCGTCTCCTGGGATCGACTTTCATGGGATCGTCTCCGGGATCGTCCTGGGATCGTCTCTGGGATCGCCTCTGGGATCGTCTTGGGATCGTCTCTGGGATCGATCCCCTGCGAGCGACGGTGCGGCCAGTTTTGCCATTTTTATGCGAGGCCTAATTGCTGCATTTTTTCAATCTTTTAAATTACTTGCTGCTGCTGCAGCAGCAGCAGGGGGGCCCCAACGTAAGGGGCCCCCAAGGGGGGCCCCCCAAGAAGGGGGGCCCCCCAAGGGCCCCACAACGGGGGCCCCCTATGGCGTGGGGCCCCCCAAGGGGCCCCTAAGGGAGGCCTCCTGAGTCGGGAGGCCCCCAGGGGGGCCCCCAAGGGGGCCCCCAGGGGGGCCCCCAAGGGGGGGCCCCTAAGACAGGGGGCCCCCAGGGGGGCCCCCCGGGGGCCCCTGGCTTTGGCTGTTTTGGGCTGAGGCTGCTGCAGTTTGGGGGCAGGTGAAAATAAAGAAAGAAAAGAATTGCATAAAAGCAAATGAGAGTTTAATTTGAAAAAAGAAAAAACTTTAATTTGTTTTTATTTAATTTAAAAGAAGTGGTGGTTTTCCCGCTGCTGCTGGAGTTGCGGCCAGCTAGGGTTTAGGGTTTAGGGTTTGGGGATTAGGGTTTAGGGTTTGGGGTTTAGGGTTTGGGGTTTAGGGTTTAGGGTTTGGGCCTTCTGTCTCTGTTCTTTTGTCTGTCTCCATTTGTCTCTCTTTGCTTCTTTCGTGTCTCTTTCAAGTGTCCCTATCCCCCTTGCTGCTGTGGGCTGAGGCTAGTAAGGGCAGCAGCTTCAGCAGCAGCAAATGGTAAATGCATTAAAGGAAAGAAACAAATAAACAAAAAGGAGACAAAAGGAGACAAACAAAAAAGAAATAAATTAAAAATAAAAAATAAAATAAAATAGTTTATTTTAGGGTTTAGGGAGAGAGGCCGAGGCGCAGCAGGAGCAGCTTTTGCTGCTGCTGCAGCAGCAGCAGCAGCAGCAAGCGCTGCAGCAGCAAGTGCTGCTCGTGCAGCAGCACCTGCTGCTGCTGTTGCTGCAGGCTTCGCCACCGAATCCACAGCAGCAGCAGCAGCAGCTGCTGCTGCTGCAGGGCCCGCCTACTGCTGGGGCAGCAGTGGCAGCAGCAGCAACCGCTGCTGCTGCTGCTGCTGCTGCTGCTGCAGCCCGTGAGCCTGGAGGGAGGCTTTGCTGCTGCAGCTGCTAGTTTGCTGCTGCAGTGTCCCTTGGGGTGTCTGCAGAGACACCCCAGGGCCTAAAGACACACTAGAGCAGCAGCAAAAAGGTGGCTTTTTGCTGCTGCGGAGAAGCAGCAGCAGCTTGCTGCAGCTCCAGCAGTTCAGCAGCAGCGGGCAAAGACACGGCAGCAGACGGGGCAGCAGCAGAGAAGCGCAGCAGCAGCGGCCGGGGCAGCAGCAGCAGCAGCTGCTGCTGCTGCATCTAAGGCAGCAGAAACAGAAGCAGCAGCAGCTGCAGCAGAAGAGCAAAAAAAGGCAGCACCTGCTGCGGCGGGATCACTAGAAGCACCGGCTGCAGCAGCAGCAGCAGCAGCAGCCGCAGCAGCAGCCGCAGCAGCGCGAATCTGCCTAGACTTTGCTGCTGCAGCAAAATTAAAAGTGAAGTTTGATTCTTTTAAAAGGCTTTTTGCTGCTTCTGAGAAGTTTCTTCTTTTTGGGAAGCAGCAGGGAGCAGCAGCAGGAGGTGTCCATACACCTGCGAGGCTCCGCAGCAGCAGAAGGCGCTCAGCAGCAAAACAGCAGCAGCAGCAGCAGCAGCAGCAGCAGCAGCAAAGAAACCTTGCTTGAGGCGGGCCGTCTGCGTGGCATGCGGCGAAAGGAGAATAGATGCAGCGCTTTAAAAGGGGAGCTGCTGCTGTTGCTGCTGTTGCTGCGGCTGCTGCTGCTGCTGCTGCTCTCGTCTCGGGCTAGGCAGCAGCAGCAGCAGCAGCAATAGCTGTGGGTGTTTGGGGCAGCAGCTGCTGCGGTTGCTGCTGGGGTTGGAGTGTACGTACAGCTGGGAACTCAAACAGGGACTGAAATTCAAAAAAAGAAAATTAAAAAGTCTAAACTTGTAGGTCAGGCGGCCGGCCTCTTTGCTGCTGCTGCTGCTGCTGCTGAGCAGCAGCGCAGCAGCTCAGCCTCACTAGGTTTGTGTTTTTGCGTTTTCTTTACTTTAATGTTCTAATATTCTTTCCGTTTTCTATCTTTTCTTAAATTTCAGCGAGCAGCAGCTTCTAGGGCAGCAGCAGGCCGCCCTATCGCCGCAGTTTGCTGCTGCTGCTGCTGCTGCTGCTGCTGCTCGCAGCTGCAGCGCAGCAACTGCTGCAGCCTTTCGGGACTTCCTGCGGGCCCAGGGCCCCTGCAGCACTCCTGCTGCTCTCTCGGTTTCTGGGGAGCTTCTGCTGCTCCCCCTTTCTTTGCAGGTGGTGCTGCTGCTGCTGCAGCAGCTGCTGCTGCGCCCGCTCCCGCTGCAGCAGCAGCTGCTGCTGCGCGTCTTGCCCAGCGACTGCCGCTGCTGCAGCGGCCTTTAGGGAACACCAGGGGCCCCCGCCGGGCTCTGCTGCTGCGCGCAGCCAGGAGGGCCCCCGGGGCCCCACAGCTGCTGCTGCTGCTGCTGCTGCTGCAGAGGGCCCCCCCCCGGGGCACCCTTTGCCCCCAAACTGGTGCTGCTGCTGCAGCAGGGGCCCCCACTTCTTGTCTTTGTGTCTCAGCAGCAGGGGCCATGGGGCCCCGCTGCAGCAGCACTTGAGCGAGACCGAGACCCGAAAGCGCGCTCCGCCGCCGCTGCTGCTGCTGCTGCTGCTGCTGCTGCTGCTGCTGCTGCAGCAGCTGGCCGCGGAGAAGCCGGGGGGCCCCTGCAATGCCTCCGCAGCAGGAGAAGTGCAGCCCCGCAGCAGAGCCCCTGGCGGCTGTTGTGGCCCCAGTGCATGCAAGGGGGCCCCCTGTGGAGGCCCCGGTGCCCCAGGGGGCCCCCCCTGCTGCAGCAGCTGCAGCAGCAGCAGCAGCAGCAGCAGGCCGCAGCAGCCGCTCCGACATGCCCAGCGAGAGGCAAACGGGTACTCCGGAGGGCCCCTCTTCGAGTCCCAGTTCTGTGACCAGTTCTGCTTCTCAGGGGCCCCCGGGGGGCCCCCCTCCCCTGCCATCCGAGGGCCCCCGGGGGCCCCCTTCCTCCAAGACGGGGGCCCCCCGTTCCCGCTGGTGGCCCCTGGGGGCCCCCCCGCGCTCCAGCGCGGGCCCAGTCCCCCCCGCCGCGGGGGCCCCCGACCCGCCCCCGGGGGCCCCCC